CATGCATCTGTTACCATGTGTTTCTGGAAAGCCGCGCTCGATCACTCTCTTAATATCTCACTCGTTCTCCCTCTCCCTCTCTTCTCTCGCTCGCTCTTTCTCTCACACACACAATCTCTTTCTCGGCGCGCGCTCGCTCCGCTCTGGCTTTCTTTTCATGCATATATCTCTCCTCCTCCTTTCCTTTCATCTTTTCCTTCTCTCTCTTCCATCTCTCTCTCTCTCTCTCTTCTCTCTCTGGGCTTCCGCCTTCTCTCATTCCTACCTCTCTCCATCTGGCACCATTCCTCACTCCCTCCTTCCTCGCTTCGCCTCTGGCTGCTACTTACACTGAGTTGCGACACACGACGCATATCTCGCCCACACGCACGCACACGCACGACGCACACGCACACACCACCGCACACAGCGACGCACATGCACGGCACGCCACGACACACAAACAAACACACACACACACACACAAACAAACACACACACACACACACACACACACACCGCGCGCCCGCACTCACGCACGCGCGCACATACAGAAAGATCGCCCACATGCTTGTTTATAAGTACCCCGATGGGTTAGAGAAGAGCTTCTCGTCAGTAATTACACGATGCGTTCAATCATGGACAGCGATGGCAGCCGATCATCGCTCAGCTGTCTTTATGACGTAACTAACGACAGCATCGCGTCTGTGTCTATGCCCTTGTTAAGTTAACCATCGCAACTTTGTCTCAATCCCCAAAATTGTTTAGCAGTTCCTACACATTAGTAATTACAGCAGATTTGAGCGATGGGCGTTTATTCTCGCTATCGTATATAGGTGTGATATTGTAATGAGTGTATCTGTTATTCAAACATGCACCAGACTAGAATATCAATGTAATACATCGCAACGGTGGGATGTTAAAATCGTATTCTTTCTACAGCGTATAACTGCCAAAATTTATACGAAATAGCTGGAGCTACGGTTTGAATCGAGGGGGTGGGGGCAAACGCCATGCGCTCTACAGAATACAGACACATGTTAATGCAGTAGTGCTGCTGATGCTGTGTCCGTATCTGTGTACGTATGAATTTGCGTGTCACCGGGACCGTGTTTAATTAATAGCTCAGGTGTCATTTTAATGCATCCTACGTTCCACTGTGTTGACTGCGTTAATTAATAGCTCAGGTGTCAATTTAAAAGCATCCCTCGTTTCGCTGTATCGAGTTTTCAGCTAAATTAATACTCGGCAAAACAAGGGAGGCTTCCGTAAATTAGATGCGTTGTGCCAGTGTTTGCATAGTATTGCTAGTCTACGTAGACAGATATCCATGCGAACAGTATGCGTTATTCTTCCCGCTAGTTTCGAAGTTGGTCGAAGGCAACGCGTCGATGTAAAGTTACCTGTGCCTTCCCTTGTAGATTGCCGTGCTTGATTAGTTGAAACGCTAGGGTGTGGTGGTTCGAGTGTGTTAGATGATAACACAAGTTGTGTGACCGACTGGGCGTGTGTAAGGTGCAAGCCGGGGCGGGGTGTGATAGGTACATTACATGTATAGACTGAGGGAGACTGAAGGGCTACAAATGTAGTCTTTAGTGATTGCAGTACGTGCCGTAGGGATAAACCTCTGGTGTTTGGTGGGCACTATCCTTGATAGACGGGAGTGCGTTGTTAAGTGTGTATAGGATATACTAAAAAGGGGGAGCGGTGTATTTGGTTGCCTCCATGCAGGATAAAGGCGAAATATTGGATGTTAGGTTAAGGGTTGGATAGAATAGGGATGTTGGGCAATCAGATAGCAATGACGTGAGAATTTCGTGGGGGTGGAGAGGAGAATGATATTATAGAGTAGCAGTGGGTGTTTAGTAGGGTTAGAAGGGAGAAAGGGCGAGGGATAAGCACACAGGAGAGAACTGGGTGTTGGTTGCGGACAAAGGCGACGAGAGGACATCGTGAAGTTGTCGTACGAGGGCTTGGGGCATGCGGGTTGCTTGCTGGATACAGTGCAGGCCACCATGCACGCATGCAGGCAGGCAGGCGTCGTCACACACACACACACACCCTGGTGCACGCAGCTGCGCGCGTTCAGCATCTCAGCACGGAGGAAGCCCTCCGGCTGCTGCGCGCGTAGAGCCGTTGCTACGCACGCACCTAGCAGCAGTAGTAGCAGCAGCAGCAGTAGTAGTAGCAGCAGCAGTAGTAGCAGCAGCAGCAGTAGTAGTAGTAGCAGCAGCAGCAGCAGTCATTACACAGAGCAGTGTGTCAATAC